CTCCGTGTGGCTGAGGGCGCTCTTCAGATCTGCCTCTTTCAAGCCCCTCTTGCCCTCACATGGCCAGCCTGGCCTCATCACGTAGGGCACATCTAGCTGCTCCTGGGCACATGAGGAGCCAGGGGCTCAGGGAGGTAAAGACGCTTGACCGCGAGTGTCTCTAACTCCCGGATCAGAGGCCTCCCTCACCCACTGCCAGGCTTACAGTCCCCAGCTCTTCCGTAGTCCCTCTGCAAGGCAGCCAGGCCTTGCTCCCATTTTACAGATGGGGGGGCGGGGGTAGAGGCCCAAAGGGTTAAAGATGTTTGCCCGGGGCGGGGCGCCTGGCCGGCTTAGTCGGTAGAGCAGGGACTCTTGATCTCAGGGCCTTGAGAGCCTAAAAACCAAAACCGACATTTGCACAGGGTGACAGAGGAAGGGTAGAAAGCTAGGTCTCCAGACCCTGAGGCCTTGAGATCGAGGCCTCCTCTGCACCCCCACCCCCCATCCGGGACGGGGATGGTGGCCTGACCTTGGCTCTGCCGCACCCGCCCTCAGGAGCTAGAGAAGGCCTGGTTGAGGGGCCAGGAGCTGGGGGCCCGGCTGGAACACCTGCAGAGTGAGCTCGAACAGGCGGGTCTGGAGCGACAGGCGTTTCTGCGGGAACAGGAGATCCAGCAACAGAGGTGGGGTCATCGCCCAGGGGGCAGAGAGGGGCAGGCAGGGCTCGGGGAAGGGTGGGTGCCAAGGCTTCTTCCCGGCAGGTACCAGGGCCTGGAGCAGCGGCTGGAGGCTGAGCTGCAGGCGGCGGCCACGAGCAAGGAGGAGGCGCTGAGGGAACTCAAGATGAGGGCCCTGCAGCTGGAACAGGAGCTGGTCCAGGTGAGGCTCCGCCCCGGGCTCCCGTCCCTGCCGCCCCTCTGGTCTCGCCCCTTGAGTCTTGGCCACTCCCTTGCCTTGAGGCCCAACTTGGGCCTACTGGGGAGAGCACTGTGCTGGGAGTCAGGCTGACTCTGCCCAGGCCACGTGATCCTCTGGGGGGGCCTCGATTTCCCCATTCCTCAAATGGACGGCACCCAGCAGCGGTCTGCTCTGAGTCTCTCTCACTTCCTAGTGAGCTCAGTCCCTGTCGTCGCTCTAGGTCGGCCGTTGTTTCTGAGGCCCCTGCTTGCATAGGCGCTCAGCTCAGGGCTCAGCTCAGGGGTGTGGTGGGGTCCCCACACCGGGCGAGGAAACAGGCCACCCTGACACAGGGTGCCGAGGGACAGTGGGCACCCGGCAGGCCACCTGGTGGGTACACAGAGGGTTGGTTGGGGCAAAGTGGCATTGACCGCGGGGCCCGGAGGAAGAGCAGGGGTGGAAAGGGTGTTCTGGGCAGGAGAAGCAGCCGGGCAGAGGCTGGGCTCTGCTGCAGAACGGAGCGACAAGGAGAGCGACCCATGCACCTGCGGGAGCCAGGAGCGCGGGACTGCGGGACCTGGTGGCGGCGGGCCAGGGGCCGTGTCAAGTGCTGCCGAGGGCGTGAGGGTCCCCTCCACGCCCCCCCGCCCCCCCGCATGACCTCCCAGGGCCTGTCCTTCCAGCTGCGCCAGGGCTCCGTGGGACGGGGGCCGGAGGGGCACGATGAGCTGAGGATCCCGGGGGCCCAGAGTGGGCGGCTCATCGAGATGGAACGCAGCGTGAGTGTCGACTGCTGTGCGGTGGGCATGCGGAGGGGCGGCCCCTGTGGCCTGGCCCCCGCTGACCCCCCCCACCCCCTTCCCGGCAGAATGCAACGCTGGTGGCCGAGAAGGTGGCTTTGCAGGGGCAGCTCCAGCACCTGGAGGGGCAGCTGGGCAACCTGCAGGGCCGGGCCCAGGAGCTCCTCCTGCAGAGTCAGCGGGCCCAGGAGCACAGCAGCCGCCTGCAGGTGGGTGACAGCCCCAGGGGCCTGTCCCCTGCTCTGCCTCGTGCCCACTTAACCACGGCCGCCTGCCCCCCTTCCTATTTTTCCTGCCCTTTTCCCTGCCTGAGCTCCCTGCCGGCTCCCCCTGCCTGCTCTCTCGTCACAGCTATCTCTACCCTCCGACCCCAGCCGCCCCAGTCTGCACCCCTCTTCCCCCGTCCTTCTCCTTCCCTTTGACGCTTCTTCCCTGGCTCCTACCCCCTCCCGCCTGCCTCCGGCCCTCACATCCATGCCATTTGGCTCGGCTGCGTTCCTCTCAACAGCCAGCCATTAGTCCCTACTGCCCTCCCTGCCCCTGCCCCTGCCCCATGGGTCGCATCCCTGCCTTGTGCCTCTTGCCCCGCCCTCCACGGCCTGATGCCAGCACCCTGCCCTCTCCTTGTCCATTCACCTCTGCCTCTGCTCTCTGCTCCCTGCTGCCCCCACTCCAGCCCTCTGCCTTGTCCACAGTTCTCGCCGTATCCTCTGCCCTGCCCCTTGCCTTTTGGTCCCCGCCCCCACCCCCGTCTCTTACCCCCCTTTCTGGCCTGGGACCGCACCCCTGCGGTGCCTGCTGCCTCCTCTGTCCTAGGCTGAAAAGTCTATACTGGAGAGGCAGGGCCAGGAGCTGCATAGGAAGCTGGGGGTGCTGGAGGAGGAGGTGCGGGCGGCGCGGCAGTCCCACGAGGAGACCCGGGGGCAGCAGCAGGCTTTGCTTCGGGACCACGAGGCCCTGGCTCAGCTGCAGCGGCGACAGGAGGCCGAGCTAGAGGGACTGCTGGCCCGGCACCGCGACCTCAAGGCTAACATGCGGGCGCTGGAGCTGGCCCACCGGGAGCTGCAGGGCCGGTGAGCCTCCCCCAAACACCCAGCTTCTCTCCCCAGCACCCCCTGCCCGCCCGAAGCAGACTCCCTCCGCGGGTCTGACCCCAGCGGGGAAGCACCGCCCGCCCCCCACAACGCCCTCACCTCTGCTGCCGCGCCCTGGCGCGTGGCTGAGCTCCGGGGCGAGCTCTCGCCCTGAGGCTCATTCATCGTCGGGAGTGGGGGGCACCTCGCGTGGCATTCTGCCCCAGGGCTTTGTTTAGAGGCCTGTGCTTAGGAGATGGCAGACCCCGGGGGTCCAGATAGTCCAGCCGCCCACTCGCCCCGGCCCCAGGCCCCTGCAGCCCTCTTAGTCCCTGTGCATCCCAGGCACGAGCAGCTGCAGGCCCAGAGGGCCAACGTGGAGGCGCAGGAGGTGGCCCTGCTGGCAGAGCGAGAACGCCTGATGCAGGACGGGCATCGGCAGCGGGGCCTGGAGGAGGAGCTGCGGAGGCTGCAGAGTGAGCACGACAGGTACCAGCGCCCGCCCAGCCAGGCCGGTTCTCCGCGCGCCCCTCTGGGAAGCCGGCGGGTGGCAAGTTCGTCACCGTCCGCGTGCGGGCCTGCGTCGCCTCCTGTCCCCAGCATGGCTTCTCGGGCCCTTAGGCGGGGCCTGGCAGGGGGTCGAGGGCCCCCTTGGAGAGCATCTCCTCCCGACTCGGCAGGGCTCAGATGCTGCTGGCGGAGGTGTCCCGGGAGCGAGGCGAGCTGCAGGGTGAACGCGGGGAGCTGCGGAGCCGGCTGGCGCGGCTGGAACTGGAGCGAGCACAGCTGGAGGTGCAGAGTCAGCGACTGCGGGAGTCCAACCAGCAGCTGGACCTG